TATATATATATATGTTATCCCTGAATATATATATATTATCCCTGAATAACCATCAGCACTCAGACAAGACTGTTTTCTGACTTTGGGGATCTTCTAAAACCACGAATCATAGAGCAAGGGCTGACATTTCAGAGAGTGAGATGAAGGAGCCGCAAACAAAGCTTCCCACAGCAGGATGCTGACAGGTGGCTCTTCGGGGGCCCTGGGGCTTTGCTTTGATTACCTTGGCCCCTGGTCAGTCAGGCCAGCACCCAGGATATGCCACCCCCTGTTGGGTAGAAGGGGAACAGCCTGGGTATAGCACACACGAGCTGTTCTGTCCTGCCCTGCTCCCCAGTCACCATGGAGCTCTTTGTCTCTTACCGCTCATGGAATTGGATCTACAATGTCTTTATGTACCTTCTGTTACACTAAACGTTTTCTCCCTGCAAAGAGGTAGTTGCTTCCTATGTGAAGCAACTCAGGGCTTGGCTGGCTAAGATGCCAGGTTTTTAATTTTTCTAAGAGGTTTTTGCCTTAGGGTGTGTGTGCTCACCAGAGAGACAGAGAAACGAAGACAGTGAGAGAGAAAGTGGGAAATCACCATCCAAGAGGGATGGCCACACCACAATTCCTTCTCTTCCATTCTCTTTCTGGATCTTAGGCATGCACATGTGCCTGGAGTGATTTTTTAAGCCACTGGCTTTGGGACTCAAACCATGGTTCGTCACGTGGGAGTCCAATGACATAACCACTATGCCATCTGCTGGCCCAAGAGGTCAGCTTTAAGGCTTCTTAGAAGTTTAAGGGTCAAGGCAGCAGGTGGTGTGGTGGCTAATGTGCTGGACTCCCACATGGCTGACAGTAGTTAGAATCCTGGACCTGGGGAACCAGCAGTTAGCATAATGGCTGTGTCGCTGGACTCCCAAGTAGTGGACCGCGGTTCGTGTCCTGGACCTGGTGGCTTAAAACTCATGCCTGGCGAGTGTGTGTGCGTGCCCAAGATCCCGAGAGGAGAATGGAGGAGAAGGGATTGCGGCGTGGCCATCCCCCCTGGGGGGTGATTTCTCGCTTTCTGTCTCTATGTCTCTCTCTGTCTGTCTGTCGTGCACACACGCCCTATAGCGAAAACCTCTCCAAAAAAAAAAAAAAAAAAAGGAATCCTGTACCTGGAGGCTTGCTTTCCACTTTCTCTTTCTCTGTGGTCAAATTAAAAAAATAATAATAGGGGCCAGGTTGTTAAGGGCACTGGATTCCCACTTGGCCAACAGCAGTTTGAGTCTTAGACCTGGAGGCTTGCTTTTTTTTACTTTCCCTCCTTCTCTCTCTCTCTTGCCCTGTCCCTCTCTGGTCAGACTAAAATAAATAAATACATAAAGTTTTTAAAAATTATGTAAAAAAAATGAATACAATTAAATAAATTAATCTTATAAAAAAAAAAAAAAGTTCTGAGCGGGACCAGCAGGTAGCATGGTAGTTAAGGTGCTGGAACATGGTTGACCATGGTTCAAGTCCTAGACCTGGTGGCTAGGCATCTAGGCACCATGGTTGACCATGGTGGTTAAGGCACTATACATGGCTGACCATGTTTCTAGGACCTGGTGGCTTATTTTCTCTCTCTCTCTCTAGCCAAAGTAAAGAATACTGATGCTAAATGAAATTAAATAAGTACTTTTATTTTTGAAATATTTATTTATAATTATTTTTTAATTTGATGAGAGAAGGGGGTAGAGAGAGACAGTGAGAGAGAGAAAGTGAGAGAGCAAGCCACCAGGTCAGAGATTCAAACCAGCTCAGCCATGTGGGAGTCCAACACCTTAACCACCACGCCACCTGCTGGCCCTGAAATTAAATAAATTCTTAAAAAAAAAAAAAAGTTCTGAGCAAAGCAGCTTCTAATCAGAGTCATTCAACGTGACCATCGGTAAGCTTGGGACTTAGATCAAACAGTCAGACAGGTAAAAGGCATTATACCCAGTCTCACTTCTTCCTTGCTCCCTGACCTAAGAAATGCAAACCCAAAGCCACTTGAAACAGGAGGACCAAACCCCCAACCCCACCTCTATCTGGACTCATCACAGCCTACTTTATGTGAGACACTGCAGCTGGCGGCCACCAGCCCTGTGGCAGGCTTCAAAGGCAAGTGGGAAAGAGAAGAGGAACTTACACCAGCAGGATTTCAATACATGTGCTGAGATGTTCCAGAGAGTAGTTTGAGATCCTCTGCAGGTCTCTGGTCCAATAGGGAGAAAGCTGCAAACAAATTCTAGAGGCCCCAACACAGGCCGCAGCGACCACAGAAGGCTGGAATTTGTAGAATATGTGGTCTGAAAGAGAATCACAAAGAGAACTTGCATCAAAAAACCTCCTCATCGGTTCAAAGGCTGATAACTGCTGTCCTATATCTAGGATGAAAAATTAGAAATGGTGAAGGTCTGCAAAACACCATCGCAGGTTATGCCAGTGGAAGTTCTCACCTAGTGTTTTACCTGACTTAGAGACACTGGCGAGAGTGGGTTTCAAGTAAGAGTCCACTAACAAGGTAACTTTTCTTGCTAACATCCTTCCTGTATGATGGCAGCTCTTTGGGAATAATCTACAAGCCGATGCTATTTAGATCACCTGCAAGGCTGCGGGGTACCACAGAAAAGCAGCCAGGTGATCTGTAAGGCTGCAGGGCATCAGGCACCTGCATATAAACTGCTGCCTCTTTTTACATGCTGTTGGTGACACACGCTGTGAGTTCTTGCTTCTCCTTTGCCTATCCCCTGCAAAGTGCGAATGATCTGGACATAGAGCCCCAGCCCATAAGGAAGACCCCTCTAAACAGGCATGCCCCTCAGCACCCCTCATCCCAGCCCATGCAGGGGTACAGGTAAGGGGTGAGAAGTCCTAACACTGGGTCCCAGCCATCTCTGCCAACCTCACCTTGCAAGGTGACTTCCAGGAAATAGTGGGCATACTCCTTGAGGCACTCTTTGGTCTTTCGGGGGCAGGCAGTGGGCCAGGCATGGCAGTGGTGGTCCTTCTGGCTGACGGAGGCCAGGAGGTAGTAGTCCAAGAAGTGGGCGGGCGTGGGCAGGCAGAGGTTCCAGCTGAAGGCCTCTAGCAGCAGCAGCTCTGTGTTCAGCAGCTCCTTCTTGGTGAGGGTGAAGTTCTGGCTGCTGAGGATCCTGGTGCTATTTATCTGCTCCAACTTAGGGACGTGGTCTTCCCTATCCTCAAACTTACCTGTCAGGGGAGGGACAGACAGAGGTTACTGAGACATCTGCCTGCACCCAGGAAGCGAAAGGCCCCCCCTACATGCAGGATGGCACTGGCAGAGGACAGAGCAGAAAGGCTGGACTGCTGAGGGTCAGAGCACATGTTCCAGGTCCGTCCAACCTGGGCTCACATCCCCCCGGACATTGCTTCCAGCTGTGTCATCACAGCTGGGTATCTCAGCTTCTCTGTGGACCCGCCTCCTCATCTGTTTCATGGAACCTACACTTGCAACGGCTTTTTTTATATTTAGTAAGAGAATGCAGTAGCCATAGCCAGCCGGTGGCATGGTAGTGAGGGCAGCTGGATTCCACATGGCTGACTGTGTGATTCTTGTCTTGGGCCTGGCGGCTTGAAAACACTAGGTGTATGTGCAAGTGTGCCTAAAATTCCAAAAGGAGAAGGGGCTGCATTGTGGCCATCCTCCACAGGGGGGTGCTTCTTCACTTTCTCTCTCATCCTACAAGCACATGCGTCTCTAGCAAATTTAAAAAAAAAAAGAAAAGAAAAAAGGAAAAAGGAAGTGTACACTAAACACGCAGACTAGCATCTGGAACACAAGGTGCTCGATAGTGAAAAGCAACAGCATCAGAGCCTGGGGAGTAATGCTCCCACTCCCCACTCTCACCTTCAGGCTGTAGTCACAACACAGGTGCAAACCAGACCCTGTCCCTGCCGATGTGGCTCCCACTGTCCTCAGCACTGTAAATGGGGCCACAGTGTCGGTGGCCCTCAGACACAGTTTGCTTGGAAGGTGAGCCCAGCACAGATGGGTGGGTGGGGAGAGAACAGGTAAGGAGAGAAGAACAGGTAAGAGAACAGGTAAGGAGAGATTGGCTGCCCCTTCCCGAACTGGCACTTACCCCTGCCGAGCAATTCTGAGAAACGGTATAAAGTCCAGGCCCTCAGCCAGACGGCGTGACCACAGAACCTGATATTTTGGGAGGCAAACCCACATGAGGAGGTTTCAGGTTCAAGTCCAGAGGCCTCCCTGAGTACCCAAGCACTTGTGTGCCCATGATCCGGGGCCGGCTGAGGCCTGGGGGTGGACTGTGCCATGGGACCCTGCTGTCTCTTTCTCAAGGAAGAAATATTAGGTCGTTAGGAAAGCCATAATGCATTTTTGCATAGAAAAATGTCATGACTTTCCGAACAACCTAATTAATAAACAAACGTAAAAAAGAACCCAAACCAGAGGCCTAGGGTTATCTTCCCAGAGGGTCAAAGAACAGAGACATTTACATCTCACCCGGAAGCTGGCAGCTGGCAGCTGGGGGATCGCTCCAACAAGACAAAGGGCACCTTGTGCTCTGAGGATCAAGGTCCATGGGCTGTGGGGGGACGTGCAGCCTCCACTGTGTGAGGCTCTGCAGGGTGGGGGGCCTCTCCAATCTCAACACTCCTCACTCTGGAGAAACCACCCCACACCTGGGGCCCCTGACCTCCATCTAAGAGCCTTCCTCTCTGCAGCCCACATGCCTGGAACACCCTTCCCCACCCCTGCTCACTCGCCAGCCTTGACAAGGGCTTGCCTTCGAAGTCACTGCCTTGTGGAAGCCTCCCCCCGACCATAGTCCCCTTGGGACTCCCCCACTGGGTGGGAGCTCCTTGAGGTCCTGGCCTTGGTCTCGTCACCCATGGCCTCCAAGCCCAGCCTCCCGGGATCTGGAGCAGTTGCTGAGCCGTGGCAGAAGAGGCAGTGGGGTGGCCCAGGTGACCTCAAAGCACACGTGTGCAGATAAAGGGAACGCAAACAAAAGCGTTCACACACCTGCTCCCTGCTGTAGGCGCCCTGGCCTCGTTCTCTCACCCTCCTGTGCCACGTGGGAGATAAGGACATAACCACCCCAGGCTGTGGCAAAGGGGCACAACCATGCCAAGAAGGCCTCAGGGGATGTCACTGTGAAACCAAACGCCGGTTCCAGCAGGCCCGGGTCTGTGTCTCTCGGCGCACCTGCAACAGCCCACTAAGTGGGTAAAGATGGCAGGACACGAAGCTCTGCTCTCAGGTGAGGAGGAGCTGAGCATGCAGACATGTACAACACGGTGAAGGCGGAGACACACCCCTGCCAACCTCGCCCTCCACGGCACACAGCGACCCCACGCCCGTCTCCTTCCAGCACCCACCCCATGAGCCTGGACCTACACTGCCTCCCACGTACACAACTCTCCTGTCTTGCACACCCAGGCAATGCAGCAGGTAGACAAAGGGCACACTGGGGAAGAACTCTCATGTGGCTGGAAATCCTGGGGCTGAGGCCCGGCCAGGCCCTGCTGCCTCACAGCCTACCCTCTCCAAGGCAGGGTCTAGCCATGGGGAGCTCTGACCCCACTCCTGGCCAGGAGTGCTTTTCTCTAGTGTCCTCCAGCCATCTGATGGCACTTCTCACACTCAGATTACTCATTTAACAGCAAGAATTAATATTGGTGCTGCGGGAGGTGCCAGCAGGTGGCGTGGTGCCTGAGGCCCTGGGCTTCCACATGGCCAACCATGGTTTGAGTTCTGGGCCTGGAGGTTTGCTTTCTCACTTATCCTCTCTTTCTCTCTGTCTCTCTGTGGTCAGATTAAAAAAAATAATAAATGAAATTTAATAAATATGAAAAAAAATATTAGTGCCTGGTACTGAGCCCATGAGGACAGGAACCAGGTCCAGCCACTCAGCGTGGTGCCGTCTGTCCCCAGCACAGTGCCTGCCACAGAGCAGGTGCCCCGTGAGTGGAGGGTCCTCTCTGGATAGATTTTTTTCTTTTTTAAAATTTGTGCTACAGGGCACATGTGCTTGCCAGAGAGAGACAGACAGGTGGGGGCAGTGTGAGATCACACCCCAGAGGGATCGCCACACCATAACCCCTTCTCCTCCATTCTCTTTTCAGAATTTTAGACACGCACGCACATGCAACTGGTGTGTTCCTTAACCTGCCTGGTCGCGGACTCAAACCACACCACCGGCTGGCCCTCAAAAATGAAATTTTAGGCCATTTGAATGTTTCTCTGATAATTTTGTATTCCTAAGTTTTTCCTCCAATGATCATGTATCCTTTGTGCAACTTAAAAATAATTCCCCCCCCCAAAAAAAACTGCACCCGTTTTCCTCAACCTTGAGCTGAACTGAGGCAATTTAGGACTTCTCTTTTCTTCCCCAGAGCAGAAGGTGGCATGGTGAAGGATACCGTGCTGGGGGTGGCCTCACAGCATTGCTGGCCGCCAGCAGATGTGCTCAATCAGATTAGCGTCCTCCACCCCTCCCTGCTTTTCAAACCTTTCAGAGCTCTGCGGGAGAGGATTATCCTGCAATGGAGGGGGCTATGGATTACTGAGGACCCACTTCACCTGCTGGGGCTCCCCTCCACTGGCGAGGCCTCCTGGGGGCCGCTGCACAGCAGCTTCTGAGCCAGGCAGAGCAGGGTCTACAGTCTCAGAGCCGGCTCTGGACCCAGAAGCAATGAACTGTTTGTCTGCAATGTTGAAATAGGCCCCACATGGCGATGAAATGGTCGCGTAGAACGGCCAGAGGCCAATGCAGAGTGGACCATGCTTCGTGGGTCAGATCCTGCAGGTTGTTTCCTTTAGGATCCCAGGGAATAAGCCGGTGCGAGAGGTCAGCTTCTCCACCCAGAAGCGACTTCAGAGGCCCTGCTCTTCCTTGCAGGCCAGGCTGACTCCAGCTCAGCGACTATTCCCTAGTACAAAACACTTTGCAGCCACAAAAGATTTTATGAGCTTCCTGGTAACGCACGTGCCGGCAGACACTTCCTCCCCTCCTCCCAGGACCGCAGGGCGGCCTTTTGTCTCCAGTGCTGCACCACCAAGCACTGTTACTCAGCTGTTTCCTTCTTATCACAAACCACACAGACAACAGATGCCTGGAGGTCTTCCGGCGGGTCCCTGGATAGACTGGGAACAGAAGTAGGAGTCTTTCTAAGCCAGACAATAGCCACAGACCCCTCGACTTCTTCGAAGCACTTTTGATTCTGAAAATTTTCAGGCCCACAAAACAGATGAAAGAACAGTACAATGAACACCTCCGGCCCTCCACCCGGACTCGTGAGCACTGAGCTACATTTGCTGTGTTCATATGTCTGCTGCATATAAACGCTGGTCTTGCTGGACCACTTCCAGGTCAACCACAGGCACGACAAGCACACGTGCCACCCCAGAACCTCTGGTATCCATTCCTGGGGTCATCTTCCTGCAAATCACAGTGTTATGAGCAATTCTAAAACATCAACAGTAATGCAATGATATTTACTAATAGCCAGTCCATATCTGAGTTTCTACAGGGGTCCTGAAAATGCTTTTTCATTTTATTTGATTTTTTTCAGATTTTTGCTATAGGGTGCATGCAACTTGCAGAAAGAGACAGAGAGAGTGAGACAGAGAAAGTGAGAAATCATTGCGCAGGGGGATGGCCATGTTGCAATCCCTCCCCCTCCATCTTTCTTTCAGGATTTTGGCATACATATACACGTGCTTGGTGTGATTTTCAAGCCAGTGGGTCTGGGGCTCGAACTGTGGTCGGCCATGCAGGAATCCAGTACCTTAACTACCACACCACCTTCTGGCCCCTCGATTTTCTTTCTTCATGTTTACTTTGCTCCAGGTTTGAACAATAGGAGCCCTATTAACAAATGAGGGGATTTCAAAGAGTTTGTGGAAAATCGAATTAATGCACAAGATTATTTTGGTGCAAACGTTTTTTGGAATCCATGCACAGATTTTCAATAAACTTTCCGCAAACTTTCTGAAGACCCCCTCACCATATACACTAAGATTTACAGAAGATCCTAAACCTGCGGAAGCATTTACACTGGTTCTCCGAGACCAGGCATACCACGTGTCCCCTTAGGGTTGGTGTGGAAGGTGAGGCCTGTAACACTTCTGACACGCCCTTTACACACCGAGCTGACTGATTCCTCACGCCACACCCTGAGGCTGGGGCACAGGAAACCTAGGCAATTCATGGCAGGTT